TAAAGTTGTTAGAAATTTTCGTTTACCTCTTTCCAACAATACAAATTTTAAGACTTATGAACCCTGTCTTTGTTCTAAAAGTCATAAGTTACCTTTTCATTTGTCAATAGTCCAGGCTAGTGGTCTTCTTGATTTTCTTTGTACTGATGTTGGGGTCCAACCCCCATAACTTCCTGTGATGGCTACCGTTACTTCGTTTTCTTTGTTGACTTATATGGTCGTTATATTTGGTTGTTTCCCATGTCTTGTCTTGTAAATCTAACGTGTCTCTAATTTTTCCAAAATTTAAATTGTTAGTTGAAAATCAATTTGAAAGAAAAATATTGAATGTTTATTCAGATGGTGGTGGTGAATATATTATTTTAAAACAATTTTTTTCTAATCATGGAATTTCTCATTTTCGGACACCACCATATACACCTAAAATTAATGGTATCAGTGAGCATCGTAATCATCATATTGTTGAGATAGGTCTTGCCCTACTCTTCACTGTTTCTTTAGCTTAGCATTTTACATTGTATGCCTTTTCCACTATAGTTTATTTAATTAATAGACTTCCTAGTTTTGCTAATTCCTTTATCTCACCGTTTGAAGTTTTGTTTAATGTGCCTGCTAATTATAAGAAGCTGCATGTTTGTGGTTGTGCATGTTATCCATGGTTGTGTCCTTTTAATAATCATAAATTAGAACTACGTTCTCGCCAATCCATTTTTCTTGGTTATTCTATGGACCAAAATGCCTATAAATGTTTTGATTTAGAAAATAACAAACTTTATATTTCAAAATATGTTAGATTTGATGAAAGTAATTTCCCTGCATCTTCTTTCTCCTTCACCAGCTCTTCATCATTTTAAAATTTTTCTAAGTTGAATTCAAGTCTTAATGCATGGCTTGATAATGGACCTTTGGTTAAGATTCTTCAATATGATGTGTTGCCTACTCATACAAGCTCATCAATGGTCCAAACTGAGTCATCATCATCTCTTGTTGGTCTTCCCTTAATGGATATTGCTCTCAGTGCAGTGCCTTGTCTAGCCTCCTTATCCTTGCCATCTTCGAGCACAAGCTTGTCTTTAGCTTCTAAATCAGGTTCGTCTCTTCTTTCCTTGCCTTTGGTTTCTAATGCTAATGTTGTTTCTAGTGTTAGTATTGTCTTGACGATAGCACCTAATGGTCTTGATCACTCCATCTCCACCTCAAAAAAGTCACCACATGCGAACTATGCACCCATGACGTCACCAGATGTTATGCTCACAAAGCAAGGTCATGAAACCATGCCAACAACCAAACCACTAGGTCCCACTAGTTCCTCCTCACTATCTTTGTCTCCTAATACCCAATCACCAATTGCCCCAAAGTCATCACGTACCACTATCTCAGGTACAAACAGTTGCTCTACCTTATCAACCACTTCCTTTCCTCCCCCCAACAACAACCAAGATCACCCTGTTCCCACCTGAATTCATTCCATGGTTACTCAGTCTTAAAATAATATATTTAAACCAAAGCCACTTTCCCTTACCTCTATCCACACCATTGACCCTCCACTTGAGCCCATAGGTGTTACTTAAGCCTTGAAAGAGATCAATTAGCGTCAGGCTATGTTTAATGAGTTTAATGCCTTGATGAGCCAAAGTACATGGGAATTAGTGCTTTCTAATCCAAATTTCAATCTTATTGGTTGCAAGTGGATTTTCATAATCAAGCATGCTGTTGATAGCCAAATAAAACACTACAAAGCTCATTTAGTTGCTAAAGGGTTTCATCAATGTCTAGGTTACGATTATTTTAATACCTTTAGTCATGTTGTAAAACTTACTACTATTTGAGTTGTTCTCTCTATTGCTTTGAGCAGAGGATGCTCTATTCAGAAACTTGACGTGAATAATGCATTTTTGCATGGTACTCTTGAAGAGGATTTATACATTGTTCAACCTCTTGGACTTGTAAATGATAATTATCCTCATCATGTTTGTTGATTTCATAAATCTCTATATAGTCTTAAACAAGCACCTTGAGGTTGGTTTCAAGAACTGCACAAGTTTCTACTCTCTTATGGGTTTCAGAACTCAAAGTCTAATACATCTCTATTTGTTTACTACAAAGATGGTATCTAGGTTTATTTTCTGATTTATGTGGATGATATACTTATCACTGGTAGTAATGACTGCTATTTTTGATGTTATCTCCGCATTGGCTACCCTGTTCTCTATTAAGGATCTTGGACTCCTTCGTTATTTCCTTGGTGTTGAAGCTAGTTATAGCACCACAGGTCTTTTGTTTTTTACTCAACATATATACATACATGATTTGTTTGTACGTACTAGCATGTTAGATGCCAAGCCGATTACTACTTCACTTTCTTCCTTTGCTCAATTTCACCTTGATGATGGTACAACAACTATTGATGCCACAACTTACAAAACAGTTGTGGGTTCCTTGTAGTATTTGTCCATTACAAGATTAGATATCAGTTTTGCTATGAATAAATTTTCTCAATTCATGCATACACCCACTGTTCAACGTTGGCAAAGAGTAAAGCGACTTTTACGTTATTTGAAATGGACTATTTACCATGGCTTGTTTCTTCGAAAGCAACAATCTCTCTCCTTACATGGTTTTTCTAATGCAAATTGGGATGGTAATAAGGATTCTTTGATTTCTACTATAGGTTATATAACTTATCTTGGGGCTAATCCCACTTGGAGATCTTGCAAACAACAAGCTATTGCTCGTTCCTTTACAAAAGCTGAGTATTGTGCCTTGGCAGCTGCTTCTTATGAATCCACATCGGTTTGGTACTTACTTTCTGAACTTGGTGTTACCTTCTTTGATCCTCCTACACTTTTTTGTGACAATATTGGAGCTACATACCTTAGTTCTAATCTAGTCATGCACTCCGCAATGAAGCATATAGCTATTGATATTCATTTTGTCCGTGACCTCGTTGAGGAGAAAGTTCTACATGTTTCTCACATTTCTTCTTGTGACCAACTTGCTGATGGTTTAACCAAACCATTTCCTTCTTCTCATTTCCTATTGCTCCATACCAAGATTGGAGTCTCCAATGGATCCTCCACCTTGCAAGGGCGTAAAGAAGTAAATATGTAATATTTGTAAGGTTATGTCATTATATTTAAAGTTAGGGTTTTATTGTACCTCGTATATATACTTGTGATACTCTAATCTTATTATTATTGCCGCATACTTTCATCATCTCCTAGCCTTTGTGTCATATCAAGTAGGTTGAGTCAAGACATACAAGTCACAAGTCAATAAAGACCGATTCCCTAATCTAACCTAGCACAGGTACACTACTAGAATTCATAAAATCCCTTATGAGAAATCACGTTGATAAAAAAGAAAATCATGTCGGTAAAGTAATTTTCTGATAAGAATCATGTCGGTAATTAGGTCCTCGGTGAAAGTGGCCTCGGTAATTCATTTACCGACGTGGATAATAGTTACGTAGGTAAGATGACTCCAAATTACCAACAAAAACCATGTATCCAAAGTTGTCCCGGAACAGTACACCGAAGTTCTTTTCTGGTAACCCACGTCGGTAATTCACCAACAAAGATCATGTCTCCAAGTATAATAAATAGTGTCTTGACAGGTGGGATGGTGGGCTAGTTACCGACAAGATCATGTCTCTACCTATTATGAACAGTGGCTTACTAGGGGGAGTAGGTTGGCTAATTAGCGAGGAGAATGGTGTTTGAAATTTGAATTGGCAATGCAATGCAATGCAGGAATTTTCAATTTGGCAAATTACCGACGAAGGTCACAAGGGTGCATAAATCTATTAAAATAAAA